AAAAGTAGGAAGTAGGCTTGTGGAGTTGTTATCAGAGTTATCGACATTATCACTAACTTATCGTTGTTGTAAACGTTTGTCCAGCTACTACCGTCGTTGAATTTGACTCGATAAAGACAAAATTCTTGCGTGAATAGAAGAGAAAAAAGTGAATAAATTTTAGTGATAATGTCAGATTGTTATAAACTGACAAACTCGGACTGTTTAAGAGTTCACTTTATGAACAGAGAGGAGTGTTGACGATGAAGTCTCTTGTTGCAGACTAAAAAGAATCATCGGTTTACTGATGCCTATTAAAAGTGACGGAATGATTGCTGATTTCATTAAGCTAAAATCAATCATCGAAGAATCATCGACTAACGATAAAGTTTATCAATTCATTCTATCTTTCCCATTGGTATTTTCACTCCTTTTTCATTGAGAGCAAAAATGCTAAAGAAATTCTCTTTCTCATCATCACTCTGTCACTGAAGCAAACTCATATGAAAACTGTCATGTTGTCATTCGTGTATTACAATCTTTCATCTGCAATTTGTAGTTTACTCTTAAATTTTTTAGACTAAATTACAGTTGAATTACAAATCATATGTGAATTTTTTGACTGAACAAAAAAAAGCACTATAAGCCCCAAAAAAAGCTTGAAACAATAAAACAGTAAGTAATCGAACTCATAAGTTGAGACTTCATCATTATCTATCATTCACTAAGTTTTATGTGACAATTGGTATGTCAGGTGTAATAAGGTAAAGATTTATTCGACCGATGGACCTCATGCGACCAATCATTCGCATCTACTTATCAGCGATGAGAAAGAGAAAAGAAGACATGTAGCGAAAGCAATATTTCATTGCCTAAAATTTTTTTGTCCAAGATATCTATTTATCAATGACTGAGGACCGATATGTGATAAATATATGGCCATTAATCTATTCTGCAGAGGATAAATGCTGTTGCAAGGGCGCATTTCATTTCATCCATTTACTCTACCCCAATCTTTTATTATTCAAAAAGTGGATTGATGGTTAAGAAGCTAATAAATCAAATGACTACCATAAATGGGTATGCTCTATGTCATTAGTAATCGTCTATAGGTCAGACTTGTTCTTCCTTTTTTCGTGAGCAACTATCATTTTTCTTTCAATTGCAGCATAAACTTGCTTTCCCCCAAATTTATAAACCATTCATGCTCAAACTTTTGCACAAAATCGTGTTGCAGCTGAAAGATGGCGCAGAATAAAGAATAACTACGATGATTATGATAAATCAGTCATTTACATATGAAATAATACACGCTATTTGCACATAATCCTTGATGGAAACTTTGTCATCTAAATAGTTACCAGAAAAAAAATCCAAATATTTGAAATATCTGCTTGAGTATAGGTTTTCGTGTGAATAAAACAAATGCTTGTTGTTACTAAACAAGCAGTGTAAGAAATTTTGTTTATTATGTAGTACATATGATCTTAAACCTATTCTAGTTAATTGCATATGGTAACATCCGTTATTTCTGTTTTGTGAAAATTAAAAACGTATGGGATATAAATAACATTATCTGTTTCTAGCAGTCAGTATTTGAGTGAATGATTTCTCGCTTAAACTGCTGAAATTAAGAAACAGTGCGTCATTATGAAGCTTTATACTTTTTTTACCACTCGTAAATTTTTCTCTCAACTTTATTTGTTGGCTAAATTTTGATTTAATGGGCAAGACGATATCATATGTTATTCCCATCAGAAAGACGCAGATTTGTACTCCAATGTAAATATGTATCGCACGAAATATATTTTGTTCATCTCAGATCGTTAGCAGTATACGGTTTAATTATTATTATCAACAAGAAAGTGAAGTTAAATGATCATAGAGACAAAGTAACAAAAAATCATGTGACTGTTCTTGAATAGTTCTCTGCAATTGTCATTTTTCAAGCTACTTTGGCGGAGATTGTATCTTTGAATTTAAAGATTTCTATTTTTTTTCATATGATATTTGTTTTTTATAATATTCTCATTTTGCTGTTCAGCAGAATATTATGCACATTCATCATAATCTAATTTACAGATGTCATTTACTTATAGCAGAAAAACAGCCCTGTTTTTAAAGTTCCCTACTCATCAAAAAAATATATTTCGATCGTGATTTCATCTAAATTGACAAGAAAAGTTTGACTAAACTTTAAATCATCGATGATATGTATATCTTCACTGATTAAAAAAATAATGAAAAATTACCGCGGAAGTGAATACTTTTACACTGGTTATATTAGCTTTCGTCTCAACAACTTTCAGACTTAAAATATACGGTGTTCCATCAAACATCTCTGTTACGGGGAACTTGGAACTTTCCTGCTGACAAATGTTAGTCTCACTATTTTAAACAGTAATAATTACATGACAGAAACGATTCACACGGAGTATCACCTTTTCAAAATTTCCCCTCAATGAAAGCATTGATCATGAATTATAGAGATGTAGCTTCAAGTCTACAAACAAATCAACCAAGGGAGCAAAGTAGTTGATATTTATGTTAATGCAAAATATTGGTTGCTAGATAAAAGCGCTAAATGCCGACAGCAAGAAATGATTGATAAAAATAATTGCCCATTTGGCAGAGATGAATAATAAAGCTGAAATGAAAGCAGTGTGCACCCTTTGATTTACTGTTGCAGACAGGTGCCTCATAGAAATAAAATTTTGTTAGTGATACAAGACAAATTTTTACGTGCAACTTATTACAGAAAACAAAAATTGCCTGTTTTATCAGTATTAAAAATCATATATTCTTCTTTAGTGGAGTAGCAAAATGAATAATACACAGTAGCAAGATATTTACCCTGTTTTAAATCCTAGTAAAACTTATCCTATTTTCATCTAAGTAATTCTCCATAAACAATATTGTTTTCATTTTTACACTAAATGAAATCAAATATAGTCAACATGACATTATGCCACAGAACAAATTTTGGGCTAATAAACAAAGTGTATCTACTTACTGACTTTTAACTTTTCTCGTTTGATTTGAGTGTAAAGTATTTTTCACTCTTATCAGTCAGTGGTCAGTGTTGTTTGTTTAGCTACAGAACACAAATTTTTTAATCTTAAAATGGTAATAATTAATGAAAAAATTGAAAGAATGATCCCTACTTCCAAATAAAATCAAAATAGTAGTCAAAGTTTAGAAGTAACCCACACTCTGGTCTTCGAGATTTTATGCTTTAAAAGATGACTTAAATTACCAGGATTTCAATATTCAAACTGCAATTTTCGTTGCAGTAAGGCAAATGATAAGTCAGAAACTGTAATTCCAATAAAACAATTCACTGAGCTTACAAAGGAAGTTTGTTTATGCGTGCTATATTACTTTTTTCTTTTGATCTTCATGTTCTAGAAGCTTTAAGTATTCAAATATCAAAAGTAATTTCATATGATATTCATCACAGAAAACTTGTCCATGAAAGTTGTAAAAAGACTTACAGTTGGTCAACAGTTTGCATCGTCCATCATTCCTTTGCAATTACACTGCGCGCTTAACTTTCAGAATATTGAGTATAAAACCTCAGTGGCTACGATTTTATAATGAGCTTTGGATGTTTCCGCATCAAAATGGAAAAATGAGAGAATATAGATAACTAAATATTATTTTTTTACCATGAATTTTGGTCTCATTTATTAATAGATCGACAAATGAAATGCAAATTTAGCAGCGAAATTATAAATTTAATATCGAAACACGTCTGTTAAAAAAGAAAATTGTAAATATATATTTTTTTAAAAGAAGACATAATAACTTGACTCAACAATCTTCTGAATCGTATAGATTCTATAAATTCTTTTAGATTTGCAAACATTTTCGCTTAAGTGTTTTTACATCGCATTTAGTCGACTTCAACATCTTCAAATGATCATAAATAGCAATATGGAACGAACTAGTTTTGATGTAAAATGAGGTGGTATAATCTATCATAATGTGATGCAATATTTTGGAAATAGATCAAATAAATTTCAGAAGTTCCTAATGTACAATGAACGAACAACAGCATTATTTTCAGGTAATTTTTTAAAGAAAGAAGTTTAGGCATGAAATTCGAAAAGTGTGATTTTATCATAACAAAATACCAATCTTACTAAATGCGGAGGAAGAAATCTATGCTTAGTAAGTCTGAATATGAAGAAATTCCTGTCAAGGATTTTAAGTTAGATGATAAAGAATTTACCACTTTTCGTCTTTCTCGTCCTTCCACAATTTTTGAGGAAAATGCCAGTTTGACGAAAAATAAAATGTGATTATGTTAAAGGAACAAAATGAAATAAAAAAGGTAGAAATATAAAAAACTGAAATGGTCATTCGCTGATGCATATGAATTTTGATAACTGCTGAATCAGCTATTTAGTTTATAAGAAGAGATGCTAACTAACTGATTGATATGCTGTTGTACTTATCTTTTTGATAAAAACAATGCAGATAGATTACCGAATATTTGTTTTATATTGTAAATAAATTTTTCTATACCCTTTGGACAATTATTTTATAAATTACAAATTATGTATTTACAAAAAATGCTGACACTATATATTGTGCTGACTCCATATATTTTGCCCATTACTTCGTCATTTATTTCTTGCCTGCATTAATAAAATCGGTGTTAGGAGAGTAAAACCATTTTGTTCAGTCAATGCTAATGAGTTTATGACAACGCTACATCAAATAATTCGTCACAAACAGTGCAACCATGCGGGATACAAATCATAATATTTCCTTTTCTAAACTCAGTACATTTCGATCAAAAGTACAAAATATAACAGGCCGTAATAACATTGGTATGCCAGGTTGAATGTTTTAAGAAAGGCTAAACTAGTTGTTAATTGTGTTGCGTGGTAGTGAGGCAGTGCGTCACTATTTACCATATTTAGAGCACTTCTGAGTGAGAGATGAGGTCGCAGGTAGAGTAGTAAAAGTTTCTGGTTTCGGAGCGAGGTAACTGACGGAGTCGCATAATAATTATGAGTTACAACTGGATTCAACAATCAGCAATACCGGGCAGGTTGACAAATTTTCATTTCTTTTATCTATTATATCAAGGTTGCATTTTCAATATTCATGTACTGATTCTTTTTTTTAGCGTTAGACCGATCTATGGTGCTCAGTACCCCCCGCTTGAACGAGATAGTGGAGTGGACGGTATCAGCCGAACAGAGAATACCGGTAATCACCGGTCAAACTGTGGAGCAAAGTTCAAAAATTATGTCGATAGGTCATTTTTTAATGGATTTTATTGATTTCATTGTGTCTTCTTTTGACAGTCTTCATATGCTTTAGGTGTGAAGATCCATTTACATAACTTTCTGCTGTACAGGATAAATAAGTCGTGTAATGCCAAAATAAAACATGTATACTCTTGATATCATATGTTCTTGTTTAAAAGCTATCACAGTTTGTCTCTGAATAAATTTCGTATAGGCTTTTCCGTCATATTGCAAATTCGCGAATAACTTTTCTAATAAGGATGTAAAATAATGGTCTACCTCTAATAGTTTGATATTTGAGTTTGATTGCTGCATATTTAAAAATTTGAGTAGTGTTGACATTAAAATCAGTATCTGATTATTTTGCAAAGATAGCTGTTTTTTGCTACATCTCAGTAAAGAACCATTTATTGTTCAAATTAAAATTATTCTATCACCAAGGGGAAATTCATTTCATAATAAATAGACTAATTCTTGTATTTCTGTGAATGTTTTCAAGCTTCGTTGACAATTCTTGTTTGTTTTCAATGCAACATTACATTATTGCTGCATTTAAAACAGACAAGAATTGTTTTAGTGTTTCGGATGCTTGGGATGTATCAGTAACGTTGGATGAACGAGCAGCATGCACAACTGCAGCAAAAGTTCTTGAGCGGCATGCGAATCAAGTGGCGCGAGATCTCATAATGCCACCAGTTAATCCAATCCCTTCAAAAAACAGTAAAGTACAAGCAATGCAACGTTTGGCTATTCAAAAAGGTCAATTAGTACTATATTCTTTGAGTGTCGTTGCAGGTCACGCAGTTCAACTCATAATCATCAAGGATTTTTTAATTTTAGAACCTATACCTGGGACAGCGGTACCATCTGGCAGCACTGGAACACAGACATCTTTGAATTTGTATCCAAGATTGCCAGAGGTAGATACTGTAAATTTGTAGTTTTCGTCTCACTAAGCTGAATCATAAATAGTAAAAATAGCTCACAAAGAGTTTTTTTGTATATATTTTTTACAGACGTAAGTAAATTGTTAGGACTGATTTGGTTCTATCGAATTAAGTTTTTCGTACCCTCAAAAAATTGCAGATATCAACGGAGTACGGGAGAACACCGTTATGTTCAATAGTAAGTGATTCAGTCTTGACACATGGTTCTCCGTTAATTCGAGGGCGTACTTCAGGTAAATTTGTTGTGTCATTTTGTTGCTTTCCAACTGTTAAAAAAAAAAAGACTCCTGATGCTGTAGCGCGAACAACCGTATACATGATATCCATCTGAAATGTACTGCTACAGCAAATTTATCACTGGTATCACTGGTTTCTACTTTTAAAAATCTTGAAGCTCTCCAACGTGATCATTCTCGTTTCGACCGATTGCGTACTCAACTTGGTTTTCATGTAAGTCCAACGTCGAGTCCCGTAATCGGTAGTGGGAGTCAATTTCTGAAAACTATAAATATCGACTTAGAGCAGTTGCGCAAAGATTGTTGGATGGGTATACCTCATAAATTACGACCGACTATTTGGAGAATATTATCGGTTAATGTTAATTACTGCAGCTATTGAAAGTTTACTTTTCAGTTTTTAGATCTGAATCCTTTACATGACAGTATTATTCTCTTTCCTCAGCTGTTAAGATGGATGCATTTTTACTTTTCATTTATTCCATTTTCCAAACAGGGTTATCTGCCTACAAATTTTGAGCGTCGTGAGATAACACTTGGTAGGAAAAGAGAAGAATACTGGTGCTATGTGGAGCAGTATTTCCACACACGATACGATGAGCAGCATCAAGATACGTTTAGACAGGTTTGGTGACTACAGTAGATATTTTTTTATTGTTTCGTCATAAACATCAAGAGCTTGATATGTACATTAAGTTTACTTACAGATACACATTGATATTCCACGCATGTGTCCCTTGATATTATTGTTCCAGCAAAAAATAGTACAGGAGGTATCACTTAAGAACTTTAAATTTTCAATTTTTCTGAAAGTTATTTCTTTAATGAATATGAAATTATTCTATACTATTTACAGATTTTTGAACGTATTTTATATATATGGGCAATTCGTCATCCAGCAAGTGGATATGTTCAGGGCATCAACGACTTGGTCACACCTTTTTTTGTTGTATTCTTGTCGGAATTCATAGATGAGGGTTAATTTATATTGCATTTCAGTATAATGAAAAGTTGAGCCTTATTTAAGGAATAATTATTAAGTAACTAGTTGACTGAAAAAACATTTGATTAGTGGAAATTTGTTTTAGATGCAGAAGTTGGACGATACAATGTCAGTCATCTACAACGAGAACAACTTGAAGTCGTCGAAGCTGATAGTTTTTGGTGCGTTACAGCATTACTGGATACGATTCAAGACAATTATACATTTGCACAGCCAGGCATCCAGCGTAAAGTGTCTCAGTTGCGACATCTCATGAGCCGAGTAGATAGTAAGTTGGTTATTTTTTCTGAGTTGTCTATCTGCATTTATGTTTGCTGAAAAATTTTAGGCAATTTCTGAAGCGGAATGCAGTGGTTAATTGAAGATTTTAGATTAAATACAATATTTAATTTTATTTATAGAACAACTCCATCGTCATTTGGAAGAACATGGTATTGAATATTTACAGTTCGCATTCCGTTGGATGAACAATGTACTAATGAGGGAAATTCCTTTGCGAGCTACAATTCGCCTTTGGGATACTTATTTGGTTTGTTACGAAAGTGATTATGGCTTCGTTTGTAGAAGAGTCTAATATCTTGAGCATTTTTTGTACTTGTGTAGAACCAAAAGTTTGAAATTGTATTTCGTAGAATTATCTTTATGTATTTATTTGGGAGCTTCCAGAGCGAAAAGAACGGGTTTTCACATTTTCATGGTTATGTGTGCGCCGCTTTTCTTCGGATGTGGTCGAAACAATTGCAAGCTGAGAAGGATTTTCAGGTCTTTAAAAATAATTATAAAGTCAAGTATAGTAGGTTATTACAGTATGTTGTCTTTAATTTCAGGGAATTATGTTGCTCTTGCAAAATCTTCCTACAAATAGCTGGGGTGATCAGCAGATATGCGAGCTGACGGCTGATGCTTTCTCTTTGATGGCAGTTTTCGATGGCGCTAAAAATCATTTAACACATGATATAAATACGTAATAAGGTTCTAAACACTCCTGTTAATTTTTTTTTATTGCCTGATTTCCAGTTCACTGAGGAATGTTTTTTAGTGGCTTCAAAAGTCATTTATACATGATTAATGGAATTTTGAACCTTTGTATCGATGTAGTTTCTCACTTTATTCCCCATATAAATCAAAGAGACATGTTTGCCTCAAGAATATGAATATATACATGACATTGAGGAATTCCTGCGTAATTTGTAAAACACGACTTCCACAACTTGTATACTCTGGAGCATAAAAGTCAAAAATTGTGCGTTCGTTTCCAGTGCTCAGGATGAAGAATTCAGACCTTAATGTTTTCTTAGAAGCAGCGTACCCACTACTGCTTTTAATTTTGCCTCTCTGTTGTATATATGACTACACTGAACAAATTTGGAGTGGGAGGTTTATTTACTTACCAAAGGATGCTATTGGAAAACAAAGTATCCACCCTCTCCTGACAGAGATATCACTCGAAATCTCTGATCCTAGGAACTGTTATAGGTGGTCCATTATATCTTGGGGGAGATTTCCAGGGCGTCCTATGTGATAGAACCTTGATGGCGTAATCTTATAGACTAATAGCTAAACTACTACGTCTAGATCTGAATCTGGAACTTAGTTGCAAGCAGGAATGCACGTGGAACTTGCGGATCACGATAGAACCGACCGATAATGATAAGTTGTACAATGTGCAAACACAATTTCGACTTTAATCCTTTGCATACAACATTTGACAAGTATTATTTAAATAGTATCGAAAAAGATAAGGAAAGATTCTTATTCGTGTACATATGCTAACGACAGTTGGAATTTCATTTTTTTCAAGTACCAAAGTCTTTCAAACATTACGTCAAAGAATACGAGAAATACAAAGGTGGGCGGACATGTGTCTCGACAATAAGAATACATGGTATGAATGATTTACAGTACATCGGGCTAACACGTAGACTGCTACTATTAATGTAAAATAGTCTCCGGTAGACAAAAGTAGGGGCGACAAGACGAACACACGAAATATGATTGAAGACTCACAGCACCCTCTTTCGGAAAATTACTTTACTGTTCAAGGCATCTACAGGATTTTACTTGAGAATGAAGAATGCATGGCAAATAAAAAAAGGGAACCAAACCAAATCTAAAGTGACAAAACAGTTGATTTGCACATGCCTTCATAAATATGTGGCTATTCTCGACCAGCTCGTCGCTGTTTTCGAAGTACAGGGTTTAAAACAATCGAACTCGAGCCCGGGTGCATATCTCCATTTGTAAGATCGTCATCGGGATTGAAGCTAATATCTGCTTCATCACTATCTGATTCTGTCGCTAGAGCGTGCACTTAACAATAATACCCATTAACGCAAAAATTAAAACCACCATCTATAAAATGAAAAAAAGCACAATCAGGACTGAAACCTTTTCATCGCATACATATGAAAATACACTTACGTAATCGGATATCACGACGGTTCGTCCCAGTATCAAAGACGATATTAAGAGCTTCTCGTTCTCCAATTCTCAATACGACACCACCGCCCTGAGAATTTTCACCATGTTCTGAGACACGATCCTCATCTGGAGTCTATAAAATGAATAGCAAAACAATGGGACTGAGCTTACTGCTTTGTAGAATTTCTTAAAACACAAATCCAATTTTATCTTTTTTTACATTTCCGTTACAACATCACTAAATGAATCAGGCACATGAAAACTACCGAACAATAGTTTTAAATGGTTGACTAGATTATGATAAAAACGCACCTGCTCATCCTCATCATTCAGATGCGCTAATTCATACAGCGACTCCTCACTCCCCTCCGAATTACCATTTGAACTAGTTTCAGTAGAAGTTGTGTCTCCAATTGATGAGTCTATTTCACTTGATGAACCAATCTCATCGTTATCATCGCCTCCATCTTCCTTCAAAAGTTTTATCGCTTTTTAATAATAAAATTTATTCGTCGAAAAAATACTCTTTTCACAGAGTATATTTGTTTTTTAATGCAATCAATTACGATATACAATCCAAGTTTACACTCAAAATTATTAATTTACTGCATATTTAACAATAACAAAATCAACAAGAGCTAAAAATATCATCTACCTCTTCATCACACTCATCTGGTTCGCGATGTTTTCCAACTTCATACAGTCGACAAAGATTATCTCGTAACTCCAATAAATCACTTGAATTACCATGAGTTTCAATCAAAGCCATATACTGATCATTGTGGTCAGCACAAAGGTCAAACAAAGCTCGTCTAGCATCTACTGTTGTTATTAACTATAAAATATTGACATTTATCTACATATTCGAGATGTGACTGTGCCATAAACTAATTAGCTAAAGATTTAATCATTTGATGAATGCATTGCGCATCTAAAGCATAAAAACTTTCCACAAGAGCACGACGATTTATGAAAATGTAACTTAGGTATGAATATAATACAAATAATTCATGAAGTGTAGGTAGCTCATAGGTTACATAATAAAATTCAAATAAACAATGAAGCTGTTTTGTTAAATGTGAAGAACGTACTTTGTATGTAGTTGAATCAAAAGTCCGAAAAGAAGAAGACATTGTTTGTCGAAATCTATCATCAACTTCTTCGAGATCCAAATAGGCAGCTAAGAAAGAACAGTTCAGAAAAGCTCAGCAGCGGTTTAAGAAATATATTATAAGCTACTATTTGCCTGGTTGAAATCCCAAACTGTTTGGAATTCACAAAGATCATATATATATATATAATTATAAAATGGGAAAAACGTACATCCGTAAAAAGCGTCTGTACCACCGCTAAATACAATTTTGCACTGATCGAGAGCGTTAATGCTATGTAAAAGCTTGAAATTACGCATATCCCACTGAAATTTCCAAATTCCACATGTAAAGTTCGGGGTAAAACAAATGACATATTTCCAGAGTCATATGTTATGAAACAAGAAAACAACATTTGAGGGCTAATAGATACAGGTCTAAGAAAAGGCAAGTATTAAAATCGAGTACCTCAAATAAGAAAAAAAAAGAACAAACCACTTCGGAGTTAATGATCACTTCATTTCCACGCGGATGAAACATTCCACAGTTCACTGTATTCATTTTGTCGAACTTATGAATTATTTTCACGCTCACCCGAGCATCCCATAATACACCATCATTTAACACTAACTCATCTCTCGGATCAAATGTAGCTCTACAAACAGTATTAACAGAATACAGACAGTTGTTGGTACTTCGCAACTGCATCAGTAAAAAAATTCAAAACTATATGATGTGCAAACGTTAGTACAAGAAACATCAGTAAATCGGAGGCTTCGAAATTAATCAGAAATGCCCATAATTAGTACAGTATATTCTCCAAAGACGTTATATAACTAGTGCTTGACATCAAAGTCTCAGTAACTGCGTATATACTGATAAAAAAGTAAATTTAAACTAAACATAAGAAAATTTGTATATCAAATAAATTACAGCAAAAACCAACTTATTGCGAGTATAATTATTCGCTAAACGATCATCAAAAAGACGAACGACGGCTCTACCAGTTTCTGTATCATATATCTGGAACATGGTATATCTGTACAAAAGAAATCAATTAGACACCAAATTTAACAGAATAACAAATACCGTTGCTTTATGTCCTTGCGTTCCAATGATGCGATCTTGAACTGTTTTACTAAACTCAACAAAATATTCATCTGGAAAATTAATCAAATGTTCCTGAGTTTCGCCGATACGCCAGAGCGAAGAAAGTGGTTTGACAAATGCTGATGACGTGAGTAAAAGTGAGCCATCCTATAAGTACAAATATCAGAAATTAAACATCAAGAGTGAATCCACGTTTATTATGAGCTAAGATCAAAAAAGCGCAGAAGAACTTACTTTTGACTGTTCAATACCAGTAATAGCACTATGATGACAATCTGTATTTGATTCCTGAACACCGGTATGTATATTGAACCAGTTCAGAGCGCCAGCATAGGAGCCCAATAAAATATGTTCGTCATCAATCTGACAAGAAATTAATTCTCTATGGTAAGGAAGATAAACCATTGGATATTTGTAATTACATATACAAGGAACAAGCTTATTCTTAATACATATTTGATCTTGATTACCGAAAAACTGCAGCAAGTAAACGTTTCCTCGCTTTCACTAAATGTTCTTATCGGACGGAAGCGACTGAAAGCAAAACAAATATCCTCTCTAATCCTTTCTTTGTGCCATGTGGGTGAAATTATCTGAAACGCTGATTTCACAACTTAATAACCAATAACTAAGCTTTCTAAATCAGTTTTGATAATATGTCGACATACGACATTATGCACGCAACTTTTAGAAAATTATTCTGTGACAAAATTTCATGTTCCATATACAAAATAAAAATAATTTCAAGATGAATTACCGAGCGGCTAAAAAATCGGCTTGCAATATTTTTTGGCGCAAAATGCTTACGTTGAGGTTCTGGACAGTGATGTGGACTGCAATCAAAAACATGCAGTCATAAAGAACCGTGATCAAAAAAAATTCCAATGAATACTAATAATGGAAGAAGCTATTTATAAATTAACGTAGGACAACATACTAGTAAAAAGAGAAAGGAGGACAAGTGGACACCGGATTCCGACATGTTGAGTGCTGGTTCCTGAAAAACGATTTTTAAGTGATATATTAAATTCTGATATTTATTATCATAACTATTTCACAGATTTATTCCTAAGAATTCAAACAAAACCATATTCTGTAAAGACACCTGAAAAAATCTGTAATTATTTCGTCTAGATTTTTAGGAGGTACTGGCATCGTTGATGACACTAGAGAATCTTTGTCACTTCCTGTGCTGCCTACAATATCCATTTTCTCAGGATCAATTGAATAACTCGAAGATGAAGTTGTTGGTAAGGTATCATTCCAATAAGTATCTGAGAACGAAATTTAAGGAGAGAAAAAAAATCATGGAACCGAGATTTAATGACAACTATCCAACAAAATAAATACAGTAACGACTGATGTCCTAAAAAATTTTACAAAGGCTTACTTTATGTGTAATATATCTTTTTAATTTTAGCATACCTAATGAAGACGAACTGATGTTCTGTTTCTGCAGTATTTTTGGTCGGGCATATTCTGGCCTGAAGCAAAGTACATGAACTTAAATCGCACTACTTTAAGGTATAACTTTTATTTTACAAATGTTGAACAATATAATTTGGAAGAAACTATTATCCATTAAAAACTAATAACATAATCTTCTGGATGCGTCAAATTTCATGTACTATAGCACAAATTTTAATAAAAACTTCAATAGCGAAAATCTTGGCTTCGATTATGACTCGTAAAAAAGTTTCAGTGCATTAAAAACACTATCGCGAAGCTACCCTTCCAAAAAAATCTAGAATGATTTTCAAACCTCTCGTACTGTCATGAAATTTTAAAAATTTGATACCGATTCTCATGATGAAATGCACCAAGCATTCGAGATTTTCTCGACACAATGTCACTGTCGAAATCAGAGAACGTGTTTTCGTAACATTTTGGCTGAAACATGCTAAGCTACAACTTGAAATTTAATTAGCTGTGAACGTATATAGGTAGAGAAATATTACCAATGCACCAATAGATGTCAAACGACTCGAAATACGGGTAGCAGGTATATCAGGTAAACTAGCTTCTTCTTTAAGGTTGTTTGCTGTTTTTAATAAACCCTTTTTGAGCAAATGTTGATGTATCAATTGCAACAGTTCTTGATCATTGTAAACAACTTTTGTCTGAGCTACGATGTGCCATTTCCAGAGCTTTTCCTTGAGAATTGAAAAAATTAATCAAAACTAAAACTTATATGCTTGGTTCATACTACGACTAAAAAAATATACTTTGGTTAGATCATTGGGAAATTCATGAAATCGCCTCTTAGTGATTCTTTCAATTAATATATGGGCTTGTTCACAAAATCTTGCATGTTCTGCACGTCGTTCTGGCATAACAGGTTCTCGCATTAGACCTGAAAATTGTAAAAATATTATACCATGACAACTATACATTTTTTGAGTTTTGTTTAATGAATAAGAAAAGAAGGAAGCAAAAATAATACTAACCACAAAGTTCGCCATCAGCGAAAAGCGGCATTACTTCCAGAATTTGACGAACACTTTCAAAGCGTGCCAAGCCGTTAAAAGCCTGACACGCTAACGCACGAAGTGAATCAGCCTCTGTGATCGGTATTTCTGTGTACAATAATTTTTTCAAGATCTACAAAAGTTTTAACCCATGAAATTAATTTCAAACTGAAATAGAACTGAGAGGAAAAATAATTCGTAGTCCAATTATAATATAATGATAACAAATTTTACTGCTTCCAGAGAAGCAATTAAACAAAGTGACAACACATGTAGCTTTATAAGCGATTACATAAATGGAAAGTCGATTTAAATAAATTGTAAAAGACTTCAAAAAAGATAGAAAAGCATGACACTTTGCAAAAATAGAACTAATGAGATCACATTCTCACTAACTGAACACAAGATTTTTTCAGACAAATTCAAAGAATGCAGTAAGATCACCATAATTCCACTGTTTTTGCGTACAATACTCCAAATTTTTTCCATAAATGACTCTATCTGAGCTTTTTTTTGTTTTCGCATTCTAGCAAGCGTCGCAAAGTTTCGGCAACTTCCTCGAGAGTCTGTGGGCGGCGCAACAACTTCATTTACAGAAGGCGATACAGCCTGTCGTCCACTAAGCTGAAAAACCCAGTGACATAATTAAATTACAATTATTTCAATCTGGGAAACGCAACAGACAGATTAGTAATACAAAGATAATTTTTCTTTGGAATAATGACAGAAAAATAAGAACTGCTTCTTTATTTAAGTTACATATTGAACGTACTCGTTCTAGAGGGCCACATACACAATTTATTATCACTCTTAAAGCAGCGAATTGAACTTCTGCATCAGGAATAATATCACCTTCACAAAGTTCTAGAATCGACCTAAAAATACCTGTAATTACTTTCATACATCATGAATCACAAGTTATTACACACCAAGCATAACTTTACTTTAGAGTACATACCCGATAACATTCACATCTTGTTCTCGAATTTTGAAACTATTTTCACACATATCCATTTGGATGCGTGGCACGACTGAGCACATCCATAAAACCTTTATTAATTTGTGCAAAACAGTTTTGGGGTTTTAACAATCATATAAATACATGTAAAGTAATGAAAGCAAGAGAAGTCTATTCTATCAACTTTGAAAGGACTTGACAAAATACAAAAAATGGGCTACAAAATGACAAAAATTAAAATGCATATTACAATCTTTCGATATGAATCCAGCGCAAATGCAAACAAATGTTTACAGTAAAAACACTTACATCAAGAGACATTTTGAGAATTTCAATTTTCGCTGTGCCACTCCAACTACTACCCATAGCAATAAGAAAATATATAGAACGCATGAACCCCAAACGTTTCAACTCATCAACAGGTTTCCAGCTTGAATGCAAACCCAAACAATGTATAAGAGTCCAAACACAAATTTTCAAACTTTCGTCGTCAAGATGCATTCCCTGGAATAATGATTGCAGCAAAAATATGACGCTGAAAATCACTAGAACTTTAGAACGGCCTATGAAGAGAATTTGTGAATTTACGAAATCAATAAAAATAAACCTTGTTAGGAGGTAAGTTATGAACACAAGAAGGGATATTGACATCTCGAAGAGACTGTAAACGAGACATGTGCGTTCGCTTTAGATGCTCTACTTTGACAAAAACCTGTGCAGCCATGTAACTAAAAATTTTTTAGAAAAAAAAAAGGAGATAAGAACATTACAAAAGAGGTAGAAAATATTTTTCTTAGAAAATCTATAAAATTAATAAAAAACAAACCTTCTAAATGCTGTGCAAGTGTTTCTGATAGCTTGCATACTAGTATACATATGCTCATCAGAGAGAACGCTCGTCGAATCTTCTTGCAAAAGAGTTAAAGTTGAAATCTTAAATGAACCTTTCAAAAATAATTTCAATTAAAAAAAATCTTATTAAGAGGTAAATCATGAAAAAAGAAGAGACAATGATATTTTGGAGACACTATAAACAAAACCCGTGTGTTCAAAACTGAAATCAAGTCTGGTTTATCAGACTGTATTATCCACTATTTGAAAGTGTGGAAGGCTAAAAAATGTTGTTTCCAAGTGCTAACATAATTAAACATGCGTCGTGGACCATCGAAGTCATCAAATCGCTCAAGAATAGGTCGAAACTGGAATGCATGAGTAAAAAACATGCTTGCGCCTGCACGGCCACTTTCATAACTATGCTCCAGAAGCCACATAACATAGCTTAAAACAGGAGTTAAACTATAGACAATTCACTTAAAAAAAAAAAGATCAACTAGAAAAATTAAGCAATTTTCCAGTGTTGCTACGCTACGAAAAGTTCAAAATGAACGATAACCTCGATCCTGGAATTTCTGAAACACAGTTGCCAAGTTATCTATCGTATAGTTGATGATATTAAAATACATTAACTAACCGGACAATTTGATCCAAAGTTTGTTCTGATAATAAGCAAACACCCTCCATAGCATCCGAATTATATGCCAAATAATATAAGCACGTCCCCACAACAACTGAGGCTAGTGATTCTCGCTCTATACGAATCAAAAGATTTACACCTCCTGCAGCCACAAAATCCAGTGCAAGTTTGCGATGAACCAGCAGAGCAGAAAGATACTGAAAGCAGTCAAATTTAATCAAAAAATGGAATCAAAGTCACTCATTACTTGTAATGAGTCAATTACATTGAACTGCTATAATAAATGATAATACCTTCAAGACGTCAAACATAAGGCGGCTGTCATAATCTTGAGCACCTCGAAGATATTCTATGATGAGATCCAACGAACGGTTTTCATATGTTTCTTTCAAAAGCTGAATTCTTGAGTATTTTGATAAGACACATAAGTATCAAAAATGGAAAAAAAATCAATTTCAAGTAAAATTTCCAAACCTACTTAGTGGAAAACAACATACTTTTTAAAAAGGCATTTAAATCTGCATCATTATAAGTTATAAGTCAAAAAGTAAAAAAAAGAACATCTTGATATTCGCCAATCGGTGTGAGGTATTGAATAATAAGGCGTTGTTCCATGATAGTTGTTAACGGAAAGATACGATATTCTCCAAGTCGACGTTTTTGCATAATAGCCCACTGACTATTACTTTGCCCTTCAATAAGCAGAGAAGGTGGTGTTTCTAAATTACGATCCTGAAAAAAGAGACAAAACAGTGAAATTTTTTAGCAACACTAATATTTATGTAGCAAAATTAAAACCAGTCAAATGTTCTCAATATAGAGCACGTTACCACTATTTTCATGGAGAAACAAAATGGTGTGAAACATAGAAATTGAAAAAACAAAAACACCTTACCTTCTGTTCTTCACTTAATTTTGTTTTTTTCTTTGGTGGTGAAGTATGATTCAGATCTTCAGCTGTTCGTGGTTCACTAAAACTTTTTAGATTCAAAAAAAAGCTTTCGACAATTTATAGGCTTCATGAAATATCAAAAGAAAACCTTATTCTTAATGTTGATTGCCTTTCTCCGACAATAAAAGAGCGAAAGGAAGAGGTACTAGCTGATATAGATGGCGATGACGATTTCTCATTATGGATTTTTTCTGTATCGTGCTCTTTCACAACCTACAAAGGATCCAATATTCTTTTCCTAGAATTCCAACAATATTCCCCATACACTATAGATTAAATCAATATCATATGGAAATTAATTCCGTATATATTACGGAATTATTCATGTCTCTCAACACATCAATAATTATACAGTTGAAAAAAAAATTTATAAAACACTTTTCTATGAAGATAATTGATACGCAAACTTTTCACGCTATTTCAGAATTACAGCACGTTAAATTGAAAATCCCACTATTCAAACATATATTTCAAAGCTTTTAAATTTTAGCAACAGAAACTGCATAAAGATAGTTTTGTTTTTCGCAAAGTTTTAGCAGACTGCAAACCAACATCAATCAAAGATGATTTCGAACTACTATGGAATGCTTCGTTGACCAACCCTACAAACGGGCCAACATCACTTACACAATCTTTATTATTAGGCTGTGATTCTTGTATGGTCTCCAATCTCTCTCTGCTCATTCGTTCCTGAAATAGATAAATAATATGTGTAAAAGGATTAAATCCTGCAACTTCATTGTACGAACTTGAAGCCATCAAAGATAAAACATGTTTTAGTTCATTTTGTAGCAAATTACACTAAGTTTTAACATCATTAGTGTATAAATAAATACATACAAATAAATATTTTAAACGCCGCAATGCTATAGGAATAAGAGCAGAATTTGATGACTTCAGATTACTAGCAACACTTGTCACATCCAAGACAACAGCTAATAAACCAAATGAGTATGCTCTTAAATGATTGTTAGTTGCATCACTTTCCGCCCATCTATAGAGTTGTGAAACAACTCCTTCTGTTTCCTGAAATGTAATTTCATTTTTCAAGATAAAATTTGAGGAAACATTTGAGATGTATTTGATTTAAAGTGTTTACATTTGGAACAAAAATCCATTTTCGATCCTTTTAACTATTACAGGAAAAATTTATTGTAAGATAAATTTAAATTAGAAATACAGTTTTAGTAGAAGTAAAGTAAAACAGTGCAATAAAACTTACAGATAACACGGAAGTATCTAAACCAGGAGTAAGATTGAGCAATAACCGCGCTGAAGCAATATTTACTTCGACATCATCGCGAGACATTAAATAAGAGACAATAAGCTGAAAAAATATCCAAATTATGCAGCTTTTTATTTGAATTTTTAAAGACCGAAACAAAACGTAAAATTTTATGAGATTACATAATCGGCGTACTGAAATTTTATTTATCGCCATAATAAATATTTAAAATTAAGTGTTTAAAGAATATCACCTTGTTCATGAATTCTTCATAACGAGTGATAACTTTAAGTAGATGACCTAGAATACATGATGGATATGTTTTGGCTGGATGACGATCATCCAGAGGATCAGGATCATGTTGCAAAAATTCATCAGTAGCTTGTTCAATTAGTTCTGAGAGTCTGCAATACGATAAATTATTTAAAACCGAAAAACCGCCTAAATCGAAACCACTTTGAAAATTTCTCATTACACAACTGCCTACCTTATTAGTGTGGGCTTAGCTGTAAACGACACACGAAAATTTTCTGTTTCCCAGACTGCGAGTATAGCTTGTACTTCCCCAGCAGCATTAGACTGGCTCGGATGAGGTGAATTCTTGGAGCAAGCTCCATAACTTGACCGTGATGGGGCAAACATAAAAATATTATTGCACTATTCTGTAAATCATGTGAATATTAAATGAAATTGTAAACCAATGAATCACATATACTTCAGCATACAGTACTATGCAAATCCATATTGTATCACAAAACAAAAAGTAACTCCGTTTTGTACTAGAAGTGTCGCAAATACAAGTTGCCATCTAATCTAACGCTGACGTGCTTCAAGAGACTTAATCTTCAGCACTGCAATACAGTCTCATGCCTCTGACGAACAGACCTCTACAAATTAAATTCCTGCTTCAAACTACGTTAAAACTTGTGAGACCACAATGAAAATTCTGCTTCTCTTGTAAGAGTGGGACGAAATTGGTAGAAAGTGGTCTCTTTGAAGCCGGTTATCGGAATGAAGACAATTTAAACCTCTTAACGAGGATATATTAGAAGGTAAGTCTGGTGCCATCAGCCGCGATAATTCTAGCTCTCAAAGTGTATATTGTCATTACTGCTGTTAAAAAGCTCGTAGTTGGATCTGCGCCTTAGGACTTGCTCCATCCGATTGGATGTGAACTGAGAATCGAGACTTATAAGCAGCAAATTTTACAATATGTTGCCTTAATATTGGTTGCATATGGTGGCTGGTGTGTTTACCTTGAAATAATTAGAGTGCTTAACACGGGCTTCTAATGCTTGAACACTCGTGCATGAACTAATTGAATAGGATCTTGATTATTGTATGCCTATTTTGTTGGTTTAAAACATAAATACGATTGAGATAATGGTTAAGATGGACGGATTAGGGCATCCGTATCGCTGCGTGAGAAATAAAATTCTTGGACCGTAGCGTCTAGGCAAATACGAGTTTTCGACACAAACACAAAGGAATGCAATACGAATGCTGGCCTTGCTTTTTAAATTTCAACATATGCATTTGAAGGCGAATAGAAAATGGAAATATTTTTAGTATGCGCTTCTGGCGACTCCACGAAACTATTTTTATGTTATACGAATACCGAAAAATATTGCGTGACAGCAAGCCAAGGAATAAATAAGTGTGCAAATGAGTGAATGATTTAATGAAGAACATGAAAAAACATCGACTAGAATAAAGCAGATAGTGGATGAATTACACACAAATAGAGTATTACGCCAGGCCTAGTTAAAAAATCAAAGTTTATTAGTGCAATCATACAAACTTAACACCACTTAACCACTGCTAAAAACGTCAACTTCATCCAGTTTCATTAATTCGAAATACGTATGCATAAAGAATAGTGAGCAAAAGAATAACAAAGTGGAATAAAAAATTGATTGTCGGCAATATTTTGAGCAGTAATTCTAAAATTTTTGCATAGTAACCAATCTATCTATTGTAAGTTAAAATGTATCATCTAGACATGCCATATTACTATGTTCACTTAAATCTCGTATGTTATAGAAAGAATCTTTTATCTCGAACTTACGATTACGATAGAAGCCCAGGTTACCATAATCGACTATTATTTCAAGTCGTTATTTTCATTTATGCCTTCAATTCACAAATTTTTATGCTTTTTCTTAAAAACAGAAGTAAATACTTGCATTTTCATCCAATTCAATGAACACATTCTCTGCTTTCTTGTTAATTTTTTCAATTCAGTAACCTGTAGCAAAAAAAAATGCTAACAATAAACAATAAGTGTTCAAATTTCTTAAGCGACAGTACAGAAAAGTAGTTGCTGAAAAGTAAAGTGATGGAGATGTAGACGAAAGAGTAAATAGTTTCATAGCAATTTAACTGATCTAAAATGCAGAACCGTTTTTGGCATAGAAGATGCTCAGATGAATTCCTATAAATCTCTGCTTAAATCAAGCAATTCAATTTACACTGTTATGCCAGATTAGTACAGAGTGAGTTGCCTGACTTGCCTATCAGGCAGTAATAGCTATAGTGCTTTTACCATAAATCATAATAGAAAGTGTGAAAATGAAAGGAAGCGTGACTGCACAGAATAAGACAAATTCTTACAAATAACATTGTTCAATGAATAGCTTCAAATATTTGATGAATTATCTAAAGAAGTGATGGTCATATGCTCGTTCGAATCACATCATCCTCCTTATCTACGATGTTCTTCTAAGTCTAGCAATAGCAGCCAATTTGAACTGGAAAAAAAAGAATACTGATTAAACTTCATGACTACCAATTTCCATGACCCAAATGAGCGGACCGCGTTAAATATTAATTGTATCTGGAATATCTGATGGTGTGGTTTGTGCTTTGTGTTTGGTCTGTTTTTAGAAGTAATTGTTAGTTTTGAGTTTTATGCTAGGGCGGTAGTAATGAAAGCATAAAATGCTCATTAGCCAAATCTGATGTATGTTAATCCAAATTTTTCTTGCAATGTATGGCTAGCGTAAAAAATTAGCTGGGGAATTGATTGTTGCAAGTTGTTCAAGTGATTACTTCCGCATCATTTCAGATACATTTTCTTTTACTATAAAGTCGTAACTATTTTGCTTACAGTACATGTCGATAAGGGGTATGAGCGTGCGTGGTCGAAGTGCTCTTGTGTGGGTGGCCTTTAATTTCAGCGATTTTATATCTCATTTCAAGATGTACCTCATCACCATAATTTTAATATGCATCTTTATAATTCAAATTCAGTGTTATGATGGAGTAATATTGCTTGCGGAATTAAGGAAAAATAGATCTTTTCTTGCTGTCAAAAATCATTTTTCACTGCTGTAATAGCACAAATGCAAGCCATTGCATTATATTGTTACAAAGTATGATTATTAGTTTCATGTAAGTCGATTCATAATAAGAGAAACAAGTAATCTGAATTTCATGAATTTGTTTTTTTTTCGTCTTACAGATTTTGCAGATCGATCATGACTAAACATTTGTATAAGATTTGCTGGAATAGTGCTTAATTGTACTCGCTCGTACATCTCTCGTTAGATGTTTCGTCAGGTTACTTATGAAATTCATGTGTGTCATTTCCGTAACAAAATATCACCTGCAGCAGCCTCCTCTTACTCATTTTTCAAGTTTTTGTTTGAGCAAAATTTCGTATCACATGTGAACAGAGTAGTTTTTTGGTTTCAAGGAAATGTGATTGTGATTGAAATTTTTTTACAATTTAGCATGTTTCATGTATAAGAGTCATGAAGCGCTGAATCACAAACAATTTATCATTTACCTGTGTGACAGAGATATGAAAACATCTCAAGTCTACACTTTCATTTGATTTGCTACATCTGCATCTTTGATTTTTTATCAAATCTACAGTTAGATTCTACATATATTTTCTTATGAAACTAAACTTTTAAAATGAGAGTATTCGCTACATTTTTTGTGACATGTAATCTGTTTATTTTTGCGTTTTAGTTCGTAACTGTTAAATTTGTACGTCGTCATCTCAGGTATTTAGTAAATCTGTATGCATGATAGCGCTATAGGTTGTGCTCGCTGTTTTGAGTGCATTCTTGCACATTCTGCGTCCGAATTGGGTCCTGAGTATAGTTTATTGATAACATAGAAATGTCTATTATTTAGTCCGCGATTTTTACAGACCATTATGGAAAGTGATGTGATGGGTAAATGGGCTTGCTCACAATGTACTTATGCGAATTTTGAAACTGCAAAGGCATGCACTATGTGTCGTACACCGCGATACTCAGTTTTTATCACTGAACCACCTTGTACATCCAGTATTGTTAATGAAGGAGAAAACTGCGAGCAAAAATGGCCTTGTCCAGATTGCACATATTTGAATGTCCTCAAATCTCGTCAGTGTACTGTTTGCATGCATAAACGACCCAGTAATTTTGATCATGACGATATGAAACTCATCACTGAAGGTATTTCTTAGGAAATAATATTATGATAATATTTCATAACGTTATTACTAAATTGTAACATATTTCGAATATATCTTGCAGCTGATGTAGTTTTTTCATGTTTTAATTTTCAGTGCTTGTTTCTAAGATTTATAAAATGGTTTGTTACCGCAGATTGTGTTGTCTTCAGCCACTAATTTAGTTTTTAAATGTTAGATGAATGCTCAGTCGATCTCGAACAAGTTGAGAAGGTAGGAAAAGCATTGCAAAAATGGGATTGTTCTCAATGCACTTATAAAAACTGGCCCAATGTTAAGCATTGTACCATGTGTGGGACGCCAAAGGATTATGTTTCTATTGGAATCGGTAACATCAGCGCACTTTAAAGTTTTAGTGACTTCTTTAATTGCTGTTTACTTGTTGACTATTACTACGATTTTTTGTAATGAATAGTAATTCATTTAAATTGCATTAATTAAGAATTTCGAAAGTATAGGACGTTTGGAAACATGAAAAGACATTCGCAAAATTGTTACCTTCGTTTTTTGAATTTATTACGATATCACTATTCAGGAAATAATACGCTATCATCTTCTGATTTCTCAGTTGCTGGAGAAAATGGCAGTTCATCAAAAACAGAGAAAATAATTGAGCAAGGTGGGTATTATACTTGCTTCATTTTATGTTCATACCATATGAGTTCTGTGTTTCAGGTTGAACATTTCGCAAAGCTTTTATTAGACTACTCCCGTATTTTCGTTAAGTTTCATAGTTTCAACGTGAATTTATTTTTAGATGTTACTGTTGATAAAGGTGATGAACATCATGATACTGAAAAGACATCAAATGTAAATTTAAGCAAGCGGGTTACTTTTCTGGACATCTATCTTTCTCATCTTCATGACTCAGTAAGTTGTGAATGTCTCAGATTTCAGCAAAACATTCATTGAACTTCTGATTTTTTGCTTTTATTAATGTGTATTGCTTGATACAATAAATAGGTTGACACGGGTTGCGCATCATTTTTGGAGGCATGTGCTGAACTTCTTCGACAGAGCAGTGATGCTGAAACCAAACTTATTCACTATATTTATCATTATGGAGAAGGGAATCGAAGAATCAGTGGTTTCGAGGTTAGTTTTGAATATGCTGACTTATAGAAGTCTAACAGTTATTTAGTGTTGCTTCTGATCTTTCTTGTGAGAGAATTGTTGACCAAACATAATCAAGCATTTAATTCTTGATTCTTGGTGCAAGCTTTCTCAACCATGTAACTGCATGTCACCCGCTTATCTAAGTTTTTGAGATATACTGTTTATATAATTTTCTCTACGTAATAGAGTTTGAAGGATCTTATTAGAATCAGAATTATAATTTGTATCGTTTGTTGATGGCATTACTGATGCCTACTATTATCCATTAATCAAAGGTTCTTGGTGTGATACGAATGCAAATAGAACGTGGTTGTTTGGAAAAATTTTCTCTGACTGTTCTGTGAACTGTTTTGTCAGCTTGAAACCTATGAAACATTGATAATTGACGCATGAAGGTGTTATCTTAAGCTCGTTGATACTTTTGAGGTTTCTTGAACATATTACTCTCCTCTAGTTTTCCTTTCTCTTGCATCAAGTTAAAATGCTTGAGTAGATAGTTGGACTTCTGTTTATCATAGAACAAAAATTATTCCTGCTTAGGAATTTTCCGTGTGTGATATCGAATTTTCGACCCTCTCATTATGCGATAGAACAGTGATTTCTGAATTCACATTGATTGTATGCTATGGATTATTGTTGTTAAAGTTTACTTGCCATTAATTATTGTACTTTGAGGCTATGTTATTGAGTAGTATTGATGAAGAAAGTACAGTGACTGTCTCCAATCGCTCGATTATCGATATAATTCGTGCTAAAAATAGCAGAATTTTAGCAAGTATTCCCAGGTTCTTCATGGATTCTTTGTCGTGTACTGTTGCAATTCCAGGACTAGGTATATCCTATTCGCATCTTTAAGAGTAGCTATGACCAATTTTTTAGTGATTTACATCTTAAATTTTAGTTTGTTTTTTACTGACTAAAATTAGAAAGAGCTGTGCAGTGACCCTTTCTAAATTTTTAAGCAACAAGTGACTCTTGTGATGAAATTCACAAAAAAATACGTGAAAACATGTATGAAGATTATGACATGACGCGTGTTGCTAACAACAGTGCCTTATTTACTTTACCAAATGGTAAGTTAATAGTAAATCTTTTTTATCCGTTGGGAATACATAGTATTTTTTTTGTATGTCCAGCATTTAATTTCATATAATATTAGTAGTTTAGCAAAAGTTACGTTAGTAGTTTAGCAAAAAGTTACCTAGATTACGTTGTTTGAAATTATTATCCTCTTAGCAATCTTGTTTCATCAGATTTTATCTAAAAAATTGTAGCGATTTATGAACTTCGACCATGGGTCGCTTCGGGCGAAAGCAGTCTTCGCGTCATTATGGATCTCGACGAACGTCGTAAGATCTTTGAAAGCTTAAGAAAAATATCGAGATTTTAAAAAAGATTACTACTGCAAGCTATAAACATAAAATTGGTCAGTTTTTCAAAAAGATTAGTAATGAGTGGAATTCAATTATGGCTGAATTGTGTGAACTTTTTTTCATTCTGTGTTTTCTGATTTCAATTTCAGAGGTACTTGATGCAGTATGCTGTACAGATGTCTATTCTTTAACTGGACCCTTGAACTACCAGACATATGCACCATTACTGCTACGAAATCGTGGCGGAGGACACAGCCTTGTAGATGCCGCTTCGCAGGTATATGTGTGTTTTCATATTTCCTCTATTCCTAGAACCTTTTTTAAATTTATCGCCACACATCAAACTTTTGTCATGAATCCTTGCTAGGAGCTGACATATGTAGTTTGTATCATCCTTATACGTTGTTCTATTAACTGTAATTATTACAATTTCTGTAGGCTTTGTGGGGTGTGATAGACAAAAGCAATACGCTTCGCGATGCGCTGTACCACACTCTGTATGCAATGGAGACTAAGTAAATTTACTTGTTAATTCCATCTATCTCATGTCTTTCTTTTACGTTTGTCTACAGTTTTTTTCTTTAATACGTCATCAATAGTTTTATACAGTTATTTTTGTTGTTTCTAGCTTCCGAAGTCGATGGGCTACATCTTTAATGAAACTGGGGCTGAATTTTGATATTTGGATGATGCAGCGTCACTGGTCCAATATTATTGAATGTAGCGAACCCGGTTCATCTCTAGAACAGGTAATTAATTAGTCATGCGACGAAATAAAGACAATTGAATGCAGTATGTTTGCATTTATGCTGTCAGCATTTTCTCATAGTAATTACAAACGTTTGATTTTTTAGATTCATGTGCTAGTTCTAGCACAAGTGCTAAATCGTCCCATCATTGTGTTTCCAATTGAGTCATCTAAATTAAATCCATTTCCTGCTCGAGATAGACATCCAGGTGGTCTTAAGCATCCTGTTGAGGGTTTTTATCCACAACTACCCGGTTTAAATAATTATCGGATCTGTCCACCACTTCTGCTTGGCTATATAAATGGCAATTTTCACGCGCTTATATTACCTCCTCGTCCAGTTATAGGTTGATTTATTACTGTACTTGTGTTGTTGACACTGTTCTGATATACTAAAAATAATTTCACAGATGTCAATTTCATCAGGAATTTTTCCTGCAAATATATTTTTTTAATTTTATTCAAACGTGTTGCTTAGTTCTCTATGTATCAAAAATCTTTTAATAATATGTGGAGCTCTTTAGTAATAATGGCTGTAATAACATTTGAACTTTAAAATTTAGAAAGAGTAGAGGGGCGTCCATCTAGAATTTATCGCTATATACGGTGTCCGCCTTATCCTCTGACAGAATACATGCAGTTTATAATGGATGAAAAAGAGGCTGAAGATTTTGTTAGAGAAAATATTGTTGTGGATGTGGACTCCAATGGACAGCAGTGGATCTACCATTCAACTTTTGGGACATCTCATACGAAAAATGATCTAGGCTATTTGTTGTGGAGTAAGCTTTTATTTCATGTGTGATTAAGAGAATTTTTCGTGAATTCGAAAAAAATATTTTGAGGACTTATAATTTTGGTCTTATTTCATTGCTATGAAAGAATTCTTTTTTTCAGAAGATTGGATTAAAGCGCACTTTCCAAAAATAATTCGTGAGGAATGCGAGGTAATGTCCTGTTGCTCTGTTTGCTCTTTTTTCATGCTTGTGTAATAGGTATTTTTATTGAAGATGCATTTAATTTATAGTTATTTGGAATGCTTTGGTAGTCTCTATTTCTTAATATATTTGTCTCGAATAATTTTCAATTTCGAAGTTCTTGTCGCCCAATGCTGGAGAAATCAGCACATTCTTTCATAGCAATGTCATAATTTGTTTTACAATTTCTATTGCGCTTTCACATGCTCTCATTGTTTCAAATGATATATTTTTAGGTGCAGAATGCGGTCCAAGCACCGGAAGATAATTCTTCAAAAGTTAGCCGAATTAGAAGCAAATCACCATAAGTTTTTAGAGTACTAGATTTATGGCTATACTAATTCGTGTAACAATGTAGGCAGGAATTTGAAGACACGCAGTATTTAAGTGAGCTTATTTTGACTTATGCTGTCTAGAACGGTGATGATTGCTGTATTCCCCTCTTAGATGCATCATTACTAGAAAAGTAGAAATTCTTGTTGTGCGCGAATATAAAGTTGCGTTCGAAGAATTATGTCGTAATCCATAGTCATCTTATTAGATTCTAGGCACAGCGGTTATTGTTAGTGAAGCGTGCGCATAGTTTAAACACGTCTCAGTATTTAGATATCTTCTCGCATTATTTATAGTGAGTTCCAGAATTAATATGGATTTAGATAGTCCGTGTAAAAGAAGCAGCTACGTATGTTATCTACAGTTCTACTCTTTCGGGTTGAGTTCTTTAAATGTCATTTCGTAAACTGTATAGTTTGGTATCTCTGCCTGAAGATATTGAGATACTAGTTTCGAGAAAACATAAGGTTTCTGAACTGCTTTCATTGTACTGGACCTTAATTTCGAAAGTTTCAATTTTTAGTGGACTCGAGTCATGAATGTTTTTAATAGTTTGTTTTAGTTTCGATGTATTGTAAAAGATTTGTGAAATGCCGCAAATTTTTTCCTTTTTTTTACGTAAATAGAGCACAACAAATACGTGTTGATGATTAGAAAGTGCATAAAAGTTATGATCTGATATTTAAGGCTATTACATTTCAGTGTCAGAGATCGGTGATATTTCTACATCTTGATAATAGAAGCAGTAAAAAACAACAAATATGTACAGATCACAAACTTGACAGTAGAACATCAGCAGTAAAACGGATTTGCAAAAAAGATAGAGATTAGAAATATGTGTGGTCATTAAATTTCTATTTGATGGTGTAAGGCACTTTCAGTTTATTAACCAGACTCAGCTACAGAAACCTTGAATTTGCGTGATTTCACGGTATATTACGAAGATAAGGAGATACATTATTTCAATTTTTAGAAAGTAACTCAGGGTTGTTACAGTTCATAGCCTTCTCTCTCTCTTCATAACCTGAAAGTAGGTGCTGAGCATTATTTGTATCTTGTTTAAAGAAGCCTGAAGTAATCGGCGTCTGAGATTTAAACGTGTGAAGCAAACAAGTATCTGTCAAAAATGACGATTGAGTGGTTCTCGAGAAATTATCTGATGTTTCCATCGTCTCCAAGGGTATGAATGACGATGTACCTTTCGTGTTATTCTCTCCATCACTAAAATATTCAAGTTTGAAGCTCCAGAAAACTGGTTAATTTTTGGTTTGTGACAATAAATATGGTTCTGTCTTGGTAGTTTCAATATAACGTAAGTATGCTTTTCTTTATAGAAAATCAAGAGAAAAATTAAACAGTACATAAATGCAATGCAATAAAAATGAAGTCCTAGAGAATTTGTGTATATCGTAGTGAATGACTCATCTACCAGATGTTGGATTGAATGAGTGCAGTTTATAACTATAATGATTTGTTTTGCAACTATATAAGTGCATAATACTGATTACAAGAAGAGTCCTCTAAATATACTCTATGTCACTATTGATAGATGAGGTCTGCGTGGCTTGGATTGTATTTCCTGAGACATACACCACTGTCAGAACTCAATCTCATTTTACAAGTCATTGAGAAGAACGACAGTGTTTTTGTGGATACAATTTTATAAGTAAATATTATTTATCCTCACGAATTCTTGTCGTTTCAATTCAAAAAATATTACCATACAGACGCTAATGAATGCTCTTTGGGAAATGTATTTTCTGCAGAATGATTCATGTCACTCTCATCTGCACTTCCTGCAAAATATGAAGATAGTGAAGTTATCAGTGAAAGCTATCTACGGTATCAATAACAATTTTTTCGCAGGGAAAAAAGTGATGTACTTGCAATATGATTTTGTAACAATATTCAAAATCGGTTTTTGAATTGCACTGAGTTCAATTATAGAAGGCGGTATACAGATTCATTTTCATAATATAAATTGGACAGTAATATCACCGTTGATATTTTTTTTGTGCTGTACATAAATCTGAATACAAATATTTTTAAAAAAGAAAAGCACTATATAAATGTATTAGCAGCCCAAAAAGCGCTCCTGCACAGCGAAATAGGAAAAAAATCGTCATGCAACGCTATACCAGATGCGGAGTAATGGGCTAGCTGTAATTGGCAGATTTCATCAATGTGGTCACGATACGGAAAAATTACCCAGCAAGATGAAGCACAATACTGTCACCTCCAAGACAGAAATATGTTTTGAGCTGAGAAAAGTATGAGCCCACATTGTAGGTAATGTGTGAAGACGGTGGACCATCTTAGCAACACTGCGAGAAAATGTTATCTGACGACTATACTAGAAGACACAATGAAGGTCCTACGATGCATCGATTTAGGACTCTGCAAGAAGTCTGAAAGCATTTCCACGTATGTGGAGTCATTTCGTTTACGAAATTGTCGCTAATGAGAACGTCGAAATTAGTGTCGATACGCGAGTAAAAACCGTAATTAGAATAAAAGCGGATCGACCGGATATTGTGATGTATGACAAGAAGTGACACAAAGTACTACTAATAAGAGCTGACATCACTCGTCAAAACAAGTTGATATCAGTCAAGACCGGGAAGAAGCGAAAGTATGATTTACTGGCTGATAAACTGGGCAGTGATAAAAATGCACGAACAATTCCATTTGTAATGACTGGGGTGGGGATAGTGAGGAACTTCTGTAACGTTACGCGAAGCAGATTAGGCATATATCAAATGGATAATGTTTAAGAAAACACTCGAAAGCATCTCATTCGATCAGCATTGTGGATTCGACGAGGACGAAGCATCGGAGATCAGTACAGCGGAACTGAGTGCAGCGAGAATGCCAGAATACGATCTCTCTCTCTCTCTATATATATATATATAATGTGGAGATTAGTTTTCGTTTTCGCTTTATTGATTCTGACGCTAATCGCATTCCAGGCTGTATTTGTCCCGCACTCTGATTTATTGTGCTCATCATTTTCGCTCTGTCCTCGTGAAATCCATAACGAGTACCGAAGGAAATGCTCTCGAGCGTCTATATATAACAATGTTGCAGTTTATGCTTCTTAGAACTTAATCGCAAGATATGTAATGAATATGCTAAATGCAAAACTTACTTTTTAACCAAAAAGATTCGTCTTGATTAGTTACTCGTACTGCTTTTGACAATGGTTTCTGAATATTTGAGTTTTCTGACACCATGTTTCCATACATTCCAAAGAACGACTGATCTTCTAAACACAACTGTCAAAATTTCTGGAAGCAAAAATTGGAAAGAAGTTCACAAATGACCTTTTTGTAAATATTGAGTACAACACATACAACAGATAAGCCTTCAAGCAATTTTATCTTTTAGTGCCTTAAAATACCTTTAAAAGAAGTGACACCACTTGTTTCCATAACACAATCCTCGTCGCCATATAGATTTGGTAAAATGTTATACTTTTTACTGAATGAGAAACTTTTCAAAGATTCAATAGAGGGTGATCGATCGTTGTAATGCTAAAAAACATATTTTTTGATAGAGCTTTGCAATAGTTTGTACATGACGTTTGATTAACCCAAATAAAACTATGGAAAGTCAATTGCTTAGCTCTACTTGGAAACCACACACCATGCACAAAACTGTTCAGATAAATAATTTTCTTCTTGAAATTTTAATGCTCTAAAACCATATGGTCGTCTAATTTCTTCAGCAGTTTGTGCTTCTGGTAAATGATCCAACTTTTATATTTTTAAATGAAATATTGTTGAATGAAAATTTTCAGTAAATTGACTCGTTAAGTAACCTTTATTCTCAATGGAGTACATTCACCCTCATCGCTCACAGCTGATAGTGCTGGTTCGTAGAAAAGATGTGATTTTTGAACTCTTTGTTCGCTAAATATTCGATGTGATGTATCCATGAATTTTCCATGAGCCGCTAAATTAATGCAAACCTTTTTTGATAAAAAATGTGAAATTAAGGAAACAACCAGCATCCATATAAACAACCATGATCGTTTTTTAAACATAAAAAAAATTTTGGATTCCTTAACTATACCATTGTTAATTCTTTTCGTACTTCGCTTCCTTACTTTGTACATGAGCAAGCCAAAAATGATGAAAAGGACTGGCAAAAAAAATGAGGCAACAATGATAAAAACATTGCTTTGAACACTCCAGAGAGATGTAACATGTGAGAAGCGATGATTGAATAAAGTCAAAAAACTGTTAGTGACGATGGCTGTTGAATTGAAGGACAGTATATCTGTAGAAATAAAATAACAAACGTAGCGAAAAGAATTAGAATAACGATCATATACAACATACTTGGGAACACTAGCATTGAGAAATTTTCAATGAAACAAAGCAAATTAAACCCAAGGTATGTGCTATAGCTGGATCACTCCTTATGCGTGTGTGATCTGCAAATTCTGCTTCAACAATAGCTCGGTATTCAGTAGATGGTGGCAAATCACTTAAATTTGCCATAAAAAATGTATTGTTAAGGCGTAACTGCAAATAATATTATTATATGTTCGCAGTGATTAATAGAAATCAATAGTACAGTGAAATATTTCAACTTTCATGATGAATTTTAAAGCAAAAACGCGCTGACCGTATGGGTGTAATGAATTTCAGAAGTGTTAGCATATGAGATAAGAAAAGTTTCTGGTAAATCCATATATTCCGGAGCAGTATAATTCCAATGTAACTGCAGAATGCTATCCGTATGTTGTGAAAAGTGAGTGATATTTAGTTGTGGATTGATGTCATTTTCTGATGCCTTCTGAATTGTGAGCCAATTAGTAGGTGGACTCAATATAATACTATCATCTAGCATCCTCATTAAAACACGAAACTGGTACCTATAAGACTGGTAACATTGTTCTGGGATTAAAGAAAAATCTAAATCTGTAACTGAAATACTGAAAAGCTTTCATATAAAAGATTTTCAATTATCCACAAAAAATAAAAGATTTTAAATTATGTTTCCAAGAATGCTTTGATTGTTTTTTCGATTTTTCGTGCTCTTTCCGCGATTAATATTTCAATTCACACAACATAAACTAAGATAAATGATCAGTTTTCTGAAGAAATAAAAAAAAGCAGACTGTTTACCTAATTCTGGGAAGCAATGCTTTTATAGTGACGGCACGAACATGCCCATCAACTAAATCTCCCGTGATCCACTCTTCATTATTTTCAGGCCGAAATTCAATTCGAAATGAAGCAATTTTATTTATAGATGGATGATTTTTAGGCAATGACCAAAAAATTCGAATATTTCTTCCATAAATGAACGCTCGTGGTGCATCCATCGAAAGTTGATCCGAATCCTTGTTTGTAGGTTCCAATTTTTTACTTTTCTTAAAGTCATTTGTCTTTGCACTTTCGTTTGAAAAAGCTTTTAAAAGTTATTTTTTCTTTCATGGAGTTCGTGCTAGGAAACTTAACAAATTCAGTAGTAAGTCCATTAAATTTACTAAAGACTTTTTTTGTAATTAACTGAAGAAACCTCATCCCTCTGATACTGCATCACACTATCACTAGGAAAAAGCACGTTTTTTTTACCGCTTTTCTCCAAAGGCTCATTTTCCTTTTCCGTAACATCGTGTCCTATAAATGCTAAAATTTAATAGTTCCGATGAAGCGATATTGCAATACTTTTTCACATTTGAAAAAGAAATTACGGATAATTTTGAGATAAGCACTAGAACGTGTCATGTGGTTCGTATTGTCAGTTACTTCACAAGTGTACCATCCTTCATCTTCCTGTTGCACATCAGATATTTGTAAACTTGCTGTACCAACTAATCGAACCCGTTTTTTTCCAATAAGTGCCATACGCTGCCCATCTGCATTTTATTTAGAAAGTAAACTATTTACTCACAAAAGGTATAAAGTTTCAAAACTTTGTGAAGTTACATTTCCCACATATGAGAAATATACGCAAAATGACATAACAAACCTTTGGTCCAAATGGTTTTTGTTGTGCGAGGTACTACTAGACAAACCAGTTGTACTGTTTCACCAACTATTTTGGTTGAATTTTCGGGACCCTGTAAAATTAAATTAATTTGCTGATTGACTCGATTATCAACAAATAAATTCATTGCTCGACCACGTTCTAAACCATTCCCGTAAATTTCTGCTTCATCCATTGCTGGTCGTGATATGCACTGCAATACATTGCTTATTATAATCTTCTAACTGTATTAACGAAGCTGTAGCCAAAGGATGAATACTTTACACAAATAAGCACCAAACTTATAATAATATGCATTTGGATCTGAAGATATGTGCTTGCCTGTACACTGCCTGATAATGCTACACTGGATGTCAATGTTGCATTAATGGGATTGGTGAAAAAATTAGTATGAGGCGGCACTCCAAGTTGATCCATTGCATCAATAAGCGCCAAACCATTAATATAAACCATTGGAATTTCATAGTGTAAATTTAATGCCAAACAGCTTAACTGCAATTGCTGATTTATATGATAAACTTAAAAAATCTAGCTTAAAGACTTAAGAAAAAATAAAAACTAAATTATAAAAATGGATAGAATTTTATAAAATAAGGAATTCTGCGCTGTTAGGATGTTTTATTTTAATTTTGAAAATAGCACTACATAATCATCAATATATTGCTATAATTTTGATGAATCCGAAGAATTTGTACAAAAAATCATTTTCAATGCTCAAAATTAAAACGGTGGATGATTTCTGCATACTTTCCAACTTCTGTCTGCTGCAAGTTGCCCCAACATAAGCTGAACATCAGTCGGCGCATGTACCCGTAAGTTGTAGTAAATTTTTGGAAATTCATCTACGACATGAGAGAAAAGTGCCATACTTTCACACATATATACTCCAGTATCAGCTTCGTTTACTTGATGAATTTGTAGATTGCCCCAAATTTGCCGAAATCTTGTTTTCTCCCCACTTACAGATAGTTCTTTTTCTTCCGAGTACAGCTATAATTTTTTCAAAATTGTTTTTCATTCCTAGATTCAGTTTTTTTCTTCTATCACTAAAGAGTAATTTTCGTGTGTTTCTCTAAGTTTGTGATTATTTACAATCTTCGAGATCTAGTATGTTTTACACGTATATATCACGAAATTTTTATTACCTTAGTCCACATAATTTTTGAAGATGTCACAATGCATTCTAAAAGTACTGTTTTTCCTTTGACAACATCCACAACAATAGGGTCACTAGCTGAAGATGCTAGTATTGGATAAACAAGAACAGGTTCTATGCTGTTGTACTTCTTTGCTAATACCTGTAAACGGAAATACTAATATAGATAGTTCCATTTTTCATATTTAATTAGTTTCGACAAAAATAAATGCTGAAAAGAAAGCAATGATACATTTTATTACATTTACTCACTCCAAAAATTTCGAGTTTATTTAAAAATTCAAATTGTATGCGTGTCAGATATGCAAGAAAGTTGACAAAATTTTGCACACCTCAAAAGAAGAGGAAATATTTAATAGAACTCCCCTCTAACTTAACCAAATATGGTGATTTTCGTGTTTGATTGGTAAATGTATTGCGAACAATGCAATAATAATTGCCAGAATCGGATATTTTCGCTAGAGGTATTTGCAAACCAGATGGTGTCGAAAGGTATCTTTCATCTCCTATAAAATGAGTTATAGCTCGCAAATTTTTCGGTTATAAATTTTTACAATCTGATCAGCTGTTATTCCGTCTGGATAATAAAAAATTACTCATTTTATAGCACTCATCAAAAGCAAGAACTACAAGCAGTGAAATCAAAAAAGCTAAATTTTGTCAAAAAACTAAAAAATAATCTCTCAACACAAGAAAAATAATTTACAGGCTTTTGTAAATAAATATTGGTGCTACAAACAATAAAGCTTTCCATATTCACTTCCCTTTCACACTAAACACCTCCAGTCACAAAAACCTCAGAAAGCACTACTTTGTTTTGTTGAACTTAGATTTATGCAGTATTTTCACTACTCATAAATCATACACATTAAAAAAATTACTTTAGTCCCATTAATTAACAGAAGAGTAAACTGCACCATTACCTAATAATCCCAGCAGTTCACCATGATTTTCTCTTTGGAACATTATTTCAGGAGGTCCAGGAATCACATCTGGCATACCGGAACACGGCAAACGAGCGATCTGTCCTTGAAATACCACAACATTCTGAAGTGAGCAAAATTTTTTTTCAGCTACCACTGATCGTGAATAAATTGAATAAACCTGAGAATGCATATATATAAGGCTTTAAAAATAGGAACCTGTGGCAGGACTTTTTCAAATTTGGTAATTCTTGCACGACGAAATTTCACAGGAGCAGATACAAGACGTGTATCAATATATTTTCCATTGGATAATCGTACACCTCGTATAACAGCAGAACATTGATAATCTCCTTCAGCATGATGCCTTCCATATTGTATTTGCAAACTGTAGGTCTATTATTGTTCGACAAATACTTGAATAAACAGAGTAAGATGAAAATACATTCAATTCTGTGAAACGCTGCACAGTTTACAATCTAAATCACACAGTTGTAGAAGAAATTAATTCTTGATTCTTGAAAAATTTTGCTTTTAACTGAAAACAAATTACGTTGGTCCATTAACAAGTAGTTCGTCTCGTATACTTTCATTCCCAAGTTCACTGATGGGTACACCATCTTTGATCCAGTGCACATCAGCCATAGTAGCACCCCGCCAACCTGGTTCTATCTGACATGACATATCAATAGTTTGATGTTTCACCAAGTAATATTGGTCTGCGTGCAAAATTATTCGTGGCAGTTTGAAGATCCCTGAAAAATGTAACCTGAATAGAAACTCATTCTTACATCATTTTATTTCTATTGTACTACTTCGTTATTCCTTCCTTGACTTATTCATCCCGTTACGAATCAAATATGCTCAGTATTTAAAATTTAATGTTAATCAACAATTTAGTTCATCTGAATTTTCTTTCCTAAATCATAACATTTTTTGGAGTTAGTATGCAATAAAGACTCAACAAATGATAGCCAAAAACGTAGAAAAAAATTCTAAAAAATTTTCCAAGTTTGCCAGAACTCACTATTTTCAGTAATAGACGTAAATATATGATTCAAAAATAGCAGGACAATCGCAAGAGAACAGTACATTGGAGAGCTATTCCATCAAACTTGTATATCTTCAAAAAGTCACGAAATAGAAAATAGGTTAGAACTAATGTAAAGTGTAATATATATAGGTTTTGTTGCTTATGGAAACATTCATAGATTTTGGTTTCTTCTTGTTGCTATTTTTCTAATATTTTGTCCTCTGTAACCTTTCCATCTCACATTCGGTCTCTTCCACACTGAACAGCTGAAGAAACAAATGATGATAATGTTGACTGCATTTTACTGGAGGAAATATATTCAACGACGATCATAATAAAATTCATTTTCGCCCACAGAAAATATCATTTTACAACTTTTCCACAGCTAATAAATCTTTCAAGTACCCATCACCCCTTACTTGGGTGTTCAAACCCACAGAGAGGGTTTGAACAACTTTGCAAATGTTTTCTTGCCAACAGTATATATTGCATGAGGAACAATACAGCATTGCTGAAAACTATTTGAAATTGAAGAAATGTTATTGCGCATAAAACTTGAGCGAGTACACTCACCAGTACAATCACACATTTCACAAAAAATGGAAGCGCCAGAAATTTTCATAAAATTCTGAAATGAGCACAAAATGCACTTACCTTCAAACATCCGCATTCACGATCGATAAGAAAAGAAGTTAAATGCAAATTCAGTACTCAAAAAATAAAAGCATGTCCGTGCTAGCACCATTAACTTTTCATTACTAAAACTATAGAAAATGTGTACGAGAAACCAGAGGTTTTTAATTTTCAGTAATCGTTTTGAAGCATTTGGCAAGGTTTTCGCGTGACTTTACTTTAATGCTCTTTCCAACTAGAGCGTAGCTGTGAATGAAAATTGTGAAAATCCTTCTATAAGAATGGGAAATCAAAATTTTCCAAAATTACTCAATATTCCAATGAACCATTCTTCTAATTTTTTAGACAGCGGTAAAAAATTTCATGTAGGGGAATATATAAGTAATCAAGAATAGATTTCATACACTGAGACTATACAAACTTCTTTGAAATATTGTTTTCTATTTTGATGTGAAAATGTCTAAATTACAACGCGATTTCTAGATTACATCCTATTAGTCCTATCAATCAAATAATGTTCAACGTAATTTATTGAAACTTTGAATTGTAAATTTAACATCAAAGTACCAATCCATTTATTTTTCAAAAGACATCTGAAGCATATTTATGCTTTCTGAGATCAAAAAACTGTCTTTAAGTCTTTACTTTTATTTGAGATGAAGGATATCGTCCTAACCATTACAGAGTACCTTTAGCGTTAACAGCATAACTTGTTATTAATCAATTAATTTCAGTTCTTGTCAATACTAAATGGAAAAATCAAGAGAAATTACAGAAGAATAATATACTGCATACATGTAAAATCAGGACACTGTATACAATAGAGTACACTGGTCACTGAAGAAGTGTCAAGAGCAAAAGTAAAATTAGGAAAAGGTTAGAAGTGAACAATAATTTGCTTTAAACATTAGGATGACCTAAATGAAATCTCTAAAATTTCAGCAAAATGAGGAAACTGCTGATGAAAGTAATGAAATATGTCAATGGAATAAATGCCATTTACCGAATCTGGGTAACACTCAAAACAGAAACATCGAAATTCCATTTCCGAAACAAAAAAGCAGTTGGAACCGTAGGAATATTACTGGTGTAATTAACTTGCTATTCATAGCAATACTATTTTAAGATGGTTCATTCCATAAATATTTTCTAAAATCATGAATGTTCGGTGAAATAGATCAATAAAGAAATGTTGATACAAACTACTTGACAGCATGTCAAGTAGTTCATAATTTATATGGCAGAATAACTTGAGTAAGAACTATTTTTTCTAATCCATTTTAATGTGGCTCATTGTAGAGAAAGTCCATAGTTCATAGTTGCATTGAATTTAGCTTTAAAAATATAAAAATTTTCAATTGTTCTAAAATCTTTCATCAAAAGAAAGATGTCAGAACAAATAACAGAGGAAAAGCTTCATAGGATGGATAACAAAGTTCAAAAATGTAAGGAGCAAGATTAAGTCACATAATGACAAAAAGTCACGTAGTGATAGAGATGAAGAGAATTATCATGATTAATATAATAAATACAATAAAAAATTTTGTAATGACAATAATACAGAAATAATTACACAACTTGACATGCATTATATTTGTAATACTTGATATTATCATGCAATTACCAGATATTAGAAAAGTGAAAACGGTACAACATGAAAGTAATATGGCAGTGGGTGGAGTAAAGAAATAATAAAGAACTGCTCATCACGAATTAACAATTTCGTTGGTAGAGTCGCGCAAGTAAAATGCTTTCCTCATCATGAATTAATGACTATCTCATTTCTTGCCTCAATCATTCATTCATTGCTGAGTGAGTGTCCTTCTTCCCCAATACACTGCGTCATACATTGAAGCAAAGGTCACAGTCAACGAGTGGAAAAAGAAAGAGTTAGCAAGTAATGAGGAAAATAGGCAGTTCTCGCCATCCCTAACTTATCCTCACAGTCACTTCAGACTCGATAATAATAAGAATCCATTTTGGATTCAACTACCACTACTTCCTTCACTTATTCTATCATTCATTGCTTTATCCAGTTGAATTCTCCTCCACACCTTATTATGCTTAATTTTGGTCAGTTAAAGCGTCATTTCGATCTCTCTTCATATTATTTAACCGAACATTTCTCATTCCTGAAACAAAAATTAACTTTCATGAATTTCAAAAATTAACCGAGTTACATGCTTTTGCCACTATTTCATTCATTTCTATGCTACAAAAGAGTGAAAATTCTTGAAAAATATAAAGAATTCTACTGCATATGTGCATTTCCTTTGGTTGCTTAGATCTGTAATATGATACAGGAGAATGAGAACTTATTCATTCAAAGAAAGATGATTAGTTTTTGCGAATTCCTGCCACTAAAGAATTATGTAAATTTGAAAATTTTAGTAAAAAAACAATTTTATTAAAATAACGAATTACTCTACTTTGAAATTTGCGGGCCAGATTTGCAATTTCTGTTGTTGAAAATTCGAAGTAAATCTAAAAAATTTTGGATAATATGATTTAGTAAAAGGTGCTTTCTAATAAGTTCTTCTGTGAACGAGTAGAAACTGAGAAATGGAAACTGATGACTATTTTAATAATTCTATCCATAATTATTGCTTCTGCTGTTCAAACAACGTGAACTAAAAATATCATTTTAAATGTCTGAAATTACTCGTATAACGTGTAACAGAAAAGATATCCTGCATTCATTCCATACTCGCTGAGGTGCGTAAGTGTTCCTCAATTGTACAAGATACGATGCAGCTCTTCTCACATGTACAACAAAGTGAAATGAGTTTCAAAATGACCTGATATTTTATATTTGACTTATTATTAAAGACGCGGTACTGAAAATTTAATACTGAAACGTAACAAAGTTGACATCATTTGTAAATGCGGCTTGCTGAGTGCATTTATGAGCTGAGGAAATCATATAATTTACGCAAATAAGACCCAAAAAATTTCTAGAGAGGAAATTTTATTCTATAAAAATAAAAAAAGTCATAACGCAGAGCGCATATATGTTTTGCTTGTTTTGCTACAGCAGGCAAATAAACAAACTATTAGAAAGAATACTTGGAACTTTGCAATTGGAGTTTTCCACTATAAAAACTGTGTTTGATCATTAAAGTGTACAGTAAAAGGAAAAGAAACAGTAAAGTAATTTGCATACATCCTTATATTAAACATAGTTTTATATTATCTTTCGTTTTTATAACATATTGCTGGTCTTTATAGTATCCATCTTCCTATATAATTTTGCGATGAAAAATTGATTTCTAGCGCAACAAATGTTTTGTGGATCATAAATTGCTCGGAAAGGGTAAGGGAAACACATTTTTCGGCGAACGATGTAAAAATGACCTTAAGATTGAGTGATTTCTCACTACTTCTTGAAAGTTGTGACCAATAATCGAAATGATTTCAAATTGTGACAGTACAGCAGATTGTAACAAATGTATCTCCTTGACTTAACAGATGAGAATTGGCAATGCGAGAAACACTGTAAATGAAAATTAATGATGGAACAAATTTGTTATATGTTCCATCACTGATAGGTAAAACATTTCTGCAGTGAACACGTAAACTACCGTTCTTGAAATTGGCAGAATGATAACCGAACACTAAACCATATGAAATCCTGAAACGAGACAAAAAGTAACGGAGAGAGGAAGATTGATAGAAATATAATTGCTGGAAAAAGGCTGATAATTTGTGAGGAACAGAGAATGAAAGAATGTGGGGGAATAAAAATTGAAACCGAAAAACGAGAGACTTCGAAGAGAAAAAAGAGTGCAGAATATGAGTTATTGAACTGAGCTTAAATATAGTTCAGGCGGAATAATTATAACCAGTTAACATATACAAATTTCAAGTTGCAGGTCAAGTGTTCTTTACTATTCACATTGATAACATTTTCATTTAGAGGAAAAATCAATTAAAAATAATAAGCAAAAAAACGCCAAAAATGTCAAAAATATAATTCTGTTACTCTCTAGTCTCAGTCGTGAGAAGATCAAAGTTTTAC